AGTTAGTAAATAAAAATTAATAACTATATATATATATATATATATATATATATATTTATTTGTGAAAATTTTTTTTCTCCAAAGTCAGATCTTAGTTTCTTTCGCCAAACGAAATTACAATTATATATATAGAATATTAACCTGATTCTAACCATGTTTTATAATTATCTCAAAAAATCTACAATCAATCAAATATGTACAGTTCACTGCTGAAAAGAAGTCCCGACGATCTGTATCTAAATCGATGCCTGCATTAGCACGCCTAAACCAATTATGATTTGTAACAACAGTTCAATCTATAAATACATAATTTTCGAAAATATTAATCTTACTCCAACCTAACATCACAAATGTAAATAATTTCTACACGTTCGAACTTTTCAAGATTCTTTCCAGCATAAAGTATTGATCATATCATAAAAATCATATTTTTCGACTGAACTCGAGGATACCCACCTGATAAAATTTCACCACGAGCATCGTGGTGACGGCGTAATAAAGGGAGGAGAATATCGCAGCGGGCGCCTTCACGTCCATGTGAAATATCTCGCCGATATAGGCGAGGGGGATCGGGTTGAGGGCGAGGCCGTATCCGAGCACGTAAATCACTAGGAACACGGTGGGCACCCATCTCAGCGCGGAGACGTCGCGGCCGCTCGACAACAGGCCGAAGAAGATCGCGATCGTGGCAAGGGAGAGGACGCAGATCGGGGTCGAGATGAGCAGCAGCAATCTCTTGCCGGTCAGCCTCACCACCGACACGCACACGCTGCCCGCGATCACGATCGCGCAACCGGTCATCACGATGCTGACGTTGGTCGAGACCTCGAATCCCGCCTCCACGAATATGAACGACTGATAAGCGAGGAGGGGCGCGGCCCCCGTCAACGTCAACGCGCTCAGCAGGATGATGGCGATCCGAAATGCGCGGCAACTCTCGCGTCTTGTGAACAACTCTTGCACGGACCTCGCCACCCTCCTCTCCGAATTCTTCTCCTCGGTCGCCACTATCCTCTTTATCTCCTCGAGCTCCTCGATCACGTCGTCCTTGCCCAGGGCCCACTTCAACGTCCTCTCGGCCGACGTCAGCTTGTTCTTGCGCGTGAGGAACACCGAGCTCTCCGGCAGCCAGACGAAGATCCAGAGGAACGTGACGGGCAGGGTGAGGGAGATCATCGACATGACGAATCGGCTCGTCCAAAGGCCGATCGCGTAGGCGAGCATCATGCCGGTGTTGAGGAGAACGGCCATCGCGGTACCTGAACGAACGTTCAACTTTGTTTCCTTTTAGCTTTAGGGGTTTTTGATTTTCAAGGTTTTTCAAGCGTTCCCTCGATTGATTGGGTTACGCGAGGATTAGATTCGCTTTTGAGGGAATTCACTGTGATTTGGATTTTAATCGAACTTTGAATATTTACAATTGGAGTGGATTATTGAAGCAAGTGGTTTCTCCGCATTGTGGTTATGTTAAAATTCACGAGGATTGGTTATTTAATCGATAATAATAAATGTGTTGTAGAATTAGTATTTTTTGTTAAATATTTTGGTTTGGAATAGATGGTGATAGAGAGTTTATCAAGTTTTGATATAAATACGGAATAATATGCGTGATAATTTAATTTCGAGTTAAAAAGTGGATATTTAAATGCTACGTGAAATAAATTAGATGTGTTATTCCAGGGTTGAATGTATTTCTACATTGGAATTTTATGTAAATACGATCTCGAATATTCGTTGAATTAAAATTCTTAAATTAATAATTGATGCATTGCAAATTGGAAAAATAATAGAAGATTAATTTAACAAATATAATGATAATGATAAATCACTAAAAAATAAGAAATGATGATGATAAAAAGCGTTAAATATTAGGTTATTGCACGTGAAATAGCCGACTTCGTTTAATACACTTTCAGAGTTTAATAGCATACACTTTTATACTGTTGAATATAATTCGCAGTAATCAATTTGAAGCTTGAAATTATCCAAATATAAGATAATGGACATTTTGGCTATTGTTTTATTGTACAATGGCAATTGCATATCAAAGCGAAATGTAAATCAATATTAAATCGGTATATTTTTCTTTTATAAATTTAATCTCGCATATGTAACACGATAAAAGCGATTTCCATTAATGTACAATGACTTATGAAGATATTTGAACACTATTTTATAAGGAAATTTGACTCCAAAATTTTTTAACATGTTTTCAACAGTGTAATAGGATTGGTTATTACTACTTCATTAAAAAAAGAAAAGAAATATTCGAATATTATATTTTATATTACATACTTTGATTAATATTATAAACAAAGATATAACATTTTTCGAGGAAAATTTAATTCTGTATCCACGTGCATGTATAAATATTGAAGATTCGGCTCTTTCACAAATAATATCGCAAGAGGAAGCAAAAAAATAAAAAAAAAAAACCAAAATCAATACTACCTAAAGGGCCACGAGTCTTTTTGCTGCTAACCTCGCCCAAGTACATAGGCATCACCGAGTACGTTATTCCACAGCCTACACCGGCCATCAATCTGCCAATGTAAAGCTGCTCGATGGTGGCTGCCAAGCCGATCAAAATCCAGCTTGCAATCTTTGGTATCGTGGCGAACAACAGCGTTCCTTTACGCCCGATTCTGTCCATCAAAAGAAACGGCACAATCGAGCCGAGACCTACCCCGACATACATCAAATTCACCACCCACACTATTTGGTCGTTGGACACCTTCAAAGGATCGTCCTGCTTGAATTTTGGTATAATGGGGGTGCTCCATCCCTCGTTCAATCCACTATCGATGATCAGAAGGTTGCCTATCGCGAATTAATTGAAAAATTTTTCCTTTCTTTTTCCTCTTTTTTC